GGAGAGGCTTGTCACACCGGCTTTCCTGATAGGAACTCAGCTGTTCTCATCGTTGGAGGAGCTCAGGTCCTCGCTGTCGCTGAGGGTGGCTGTGGTCCTCTTTGTCGGGGGCTGTTGTCCTTACCTCAGCATCGCTTTCTGGCTCCATTGCGGCTCTCTCAGCCTACTGGCTCAGATCCTTCACCCCACTGGCTTGTGCTTTCTACTTCTGCCACTGACCTTGGGGCCTTCCCAGCACAGATCCTTGATTCACACTTGTATGATACGTTGCCACGGGCTCTAGGTCTTCAGCTGGACTCATGCTGGACATTGCCACGGGCTCCAGGCCACCAGCTGGACTCACGCGGGACAATGCATGGGATCCAGGCCCTCAGCTGGATTCTTTGGGTCTCTAGTATATGGACGGGTCTCTTGAGCTCTTCTGCACTTGGCTTTTTGGGAGAATATTATAAAGTAACATCCCTTCTAGATGGGGTGCAGGCCAGATAGAAGAAGCAACAAGAAAAGGCAGAGGGAAGTTCAGTCTTTTGGTAGAAAACATCGTACAGCAAGCAGCCTGCCTGCACTGAGCTGCAGCTCCCACAGTCGACTCAGCTGAACCGGCAAGGGACTCGTGTTACACATGCAGGTCTAGTCTCCCATCACAGGGCTCCCGACAGGAGCGCAGAACCCCATTCTGCAACAGCGGATGCCTCACACAGAGGAATCCAGAAGACGAGTTTATACGCAAGAGATGATTGTGTGCAAGAGAGTAGCGTCTGGCAGATCACCTCTCGAGGAGGTTGTGTCCTCGCTGTGGCAGTGTCCTTCCTCTGGGCGTGTTTCCTTTCCCCTCAAGCCCGCTGAGGACAGTTTGCAGGGCACCATGTGGAGACCTGGCCTGTGCGGGGATGTGACACTGCCTGCAGTGTGATGGGAGAACCCTAAAGTCATGTCTGTGACCGCAGACAGGGAGGACAGAGTTGGTGGGTGTGGAAAATGCTTGAGCGCTTTTCCTGAGAGCCAGCAGGGCTGAGAGCCTGGGGTGCTGTGGCCTGCGGGACGAGTCTCCCCAAGGCCCCAGCTGAGAGAGGACACACACAGAGGAGGTGGAACCTCCAGTCACACAACGGTGTCCCGGAAGTGTCGGCCCCAGTCTTCCTCCATCGGGAAGGAACCAGAGCCAGGCCCTGCGACTCCCCACCGAGGCAGAGCCGTTCCTGCTCCTGCCCCTGCCTAAGGCAAGGTCCGCCTAAGAGGGCATGTGGGAGGCCGGGGTTAACTGGGAGAAGGTTTTCAACAGCACGGAGGATAGAGTGAAGCCTGTGGAAGCCTTAATGTTTGAGATACATAGAATTTACCCTTTAGAAACAATGATGGGAAGAATACAGTGTGCAAATATAAAGACAAAATGGAATTCACATCGGGCTTCCAAGAGTGGAGTAGAGGTCGTCTGCGAAGGAGGCCCTGGGCTCCAGTGGGAACGTGGTCATTACTCGGTAAGTTGATACTGAGTGCGATTTAGCAAATTGGAGTAAATGCTGTTGGACATTTTCTAGGAAGTGAACCGTGAGAGAACATGAGAATAAAACAGCTCTTGGACGGCCTTGGGGTTCACTGGGGTCAGGTAGCTGAGTATATTGTACCACAGGGCCGGGGATATAGCTCAGTGGCACAAGCGCCTGCCTGGCAAGTGCAAGGTCCTGAGTTTGATTCCCGGTACCAAAAAATGAAATAAAATAAAAATTTTAAACGCTGTCAGCCTTGCTCTTCCCTACGTCCTCACTCCTGTCCTCGCCCCACTGGTCACAGGCATCCTAGCTCCTGTCCCGTGAGCATGCCGTTTCTCCCAGAGCGGGCGTCACCTTTCACACACGTTTCTCGTGTGTCTGTTGTGAATAAACAGCCACGCTCCCTAGCACAGCTCCTGGGCGTTGTCCACTGATGCAAGGGCAGGGCCTGGCACAGAGCAGGTTCCCATGCAGAGTGAGCGATCGAGTGACTCTGTGGGAGAATGCACCGGGCAGAGAGCGGTGGTCAGGTCCGACACTCCGAGAGGACAGGACCTGTGGCCGCACTGGAGCGGCCCCGAGTGCGTCCCAAGCAGCGCTTACCTGCAGGTGGCTGGAACACCGTTCCCTCTCCTCGGCAGTAACATCTGGGAACAGGGTGAGGAGCCTTGGGCTTTCTGTCGTGGATCAGATCCCTGGTCTTGAAGCTCTAGCTGTAACCTAGAGAAGCTTACCTCTGGACGTGCCGTGACTGTCAGTGTGAAGGAAAACAGTACATGCACACAAGGGAACAAGGGAGTGTTGGTCAGTACCTGAGTTCACTCTGGAGAGTCTTAGGAATCCTCCACAATCTCTCTTCTTTGACCCTCTTCCCTGGGTTCACTCAGTGGGAGAGTCAGGGTGACCCATTCTTCACACCCTGACCTGGCACCTGCAGTATCTATCATGTTCGTGTCACTTGACTCTGTCTTCACTCAGCCAGGGGGCCAGGGCCATGGACACGGTCCCAAGATGGTCAACCCCAAAGCCAGTGCCGACCGCTGGCCTAGGAGCCAGCCCGGCAGCCAGCCCTGCACCTCAAGGGTTGGAGAGAGGCAAGCTTATCACTCAAATTCTCTCGCGCTTGCTCCTCTGGAAGGAAATCTAGGAAGTAGGGGTGTGAGCTGGCACCAGAGAAAAAGCAAGAAAGCAGGGCGCAAGGTGGGGCGGAGCCACCCCGGTGCTGTGCACTGGAGCAGAGCCTGGCCTTCTTGCTGCTGGAGTTGGGTCTCAGGGGCGCCAGTGTCAGCCGGCTCCGCACGCCCGGGGCCTCCGGCCACCAGCTTCTGCAGCTCTGAGTCTGCAGACTTGGTTTCTGGCACTCCCAGCAGCCGCAAGTTCCGCGGACTCCTCGGGAGCAACGCAGCGCATGGCTCTGGAGAGCTGGCACAAAAACGCCATCCTGCACGCGGCCCTGTGTGCGACATTCTCAGGTTTGCTTTTCTGCTTCATTCAAGTTTCCCTGGGAGGTACAGCTTCATTCCCACCACCGTGGGTCAGTCGCAGGGCCTCTGTGACCTGCACTACTCCTAGCCTAGATGCGCTGCTTGCCCTTAATCCTCGCATCCTCCCTGCTTCTCCCAGTGGGCAAGAAGGCGACCCAGACCCCGAGGCGACTCGCATCTGAGTCACAGCTGTCGAACCGCCCCGCAGCCGTGCCTGAAGCTCTGGGAGTCTTGCTTTTTCCAGTCCTAACTCCACAGGGTGCAGAGACACAGACTAAGGAAGCAGGAAACATGTGCAATCGATGGTTCCCTAGCAGCAGAACCCTGTCCACCTCTAGGAAGTGCTTTTGGTAAACGCTTGTCACGTTAGGGCATTTTGTTCAAGCAAAGTCAGACTCCCAGTCAGAGTATTTCGCTCCGGCCTTCAGACGTCTTCCTTTCTTTTTACTAGAACATGTTTGCGCCATGGACAGGGGAGGTCGCGCGTGCAGCCCGTGCATCTCGATCCCTTCTGGTCCCTCTCCTCTCCCCTCCCTCCCCACTCCTCCATCACTCAGTCCCTTCCTTTTTTCAAAAGATCTACCTTTCTGCTTCCTATTATTATTTATTTTGCTCTTTATTTGTATTTTGGGTTTCTCGCGTAAGGGAAATGTGATATTTAAGCTTGTGTGTCTCATTTATCTCACTTCACATTACTGTCTCAAGGGGCAACCGTTTTCCTACAAGTGACTCAAGTTCGCCCTTCTCTATGGCAGAGTGGCAGTCCCTGGTGTGTAAATAGCACATCTTTATCCACTCACCTATGGGTGGGTGTGCTATGCCTGGCCACCCACACAGTGCTCTGTTTCTTCAGCTATAGCACGGGAGTGTTGGGCTATGATCCCCCAAGGTCCTGCTGCTCAAAGATGAACAGCAAGAGGCAAGCATATGTACACACACACACACACACACACACACACACACACACACCGCCTCTGCACTTTCAGCAGGGGCAGCCAGGAGGCAAATCCGCTCTGCCAAGAACAGCAGCAGCAGCTGGAGCAGCAGCTGCCTCTGAGGCCAGAGGTGGGTGTGTAGCTCTGTAGATCAGAGAGCTCCACAGAGGGAGGGCTGCAAAGCAGGCAGGAAGTAGGTTTCCAGCGATGGCCCAGGGGTCCCCAGAACCTGGTGCATCTCACTGTGGTCTGTTCCGTGCGTGCGCCCCAGACGCCTCTCTCATCACCATGTGGCTCTTCACAGAGCTCCCAGATGCTGCCCAGCTGCTGGGCACTCTTTCTCGGGAGCCTCAGCCGCATGCACCAGCTAGGGCCCCCAGCAGTGATTCTGCCTCTCTCCTGTTCCTACACACCTGAATGCTGCATCCTTAGATTTCTTCCCCATCCTGCTCTTCCAATGCAGCCAGGGTAAGTGTGCACTGACGTGGTCTCCTGGAGGATGCGGCCCCTCAGCTGTGGTTCTCAGGGGTCTCCCCTCTCTCAGGTCCCAGGGAGCCCTAAGCGTCCACAGCTGAGCGAGGCCGGTGGTCTGTAGAGCCTGGGCCTCCCGAAGCCGGCTCCTCTGCTCCCCCTGTGTGCACGGCGCTTGGTTTCTTATGTGAGTTACCTTCCCCACCTGCCGCATCCTGAGGGGCTCGTGGGCCTGCCTCGTGGGCAGGGTGGGCAACGTTTGCCGCTCAGATCTTCACGTCCCTCGAATTTCTGGGGGGCACCACCTCTGAGCCAGGCCACACAGCGGTGCCACAGAGCCACAGAGAGGTAAATGTCGGGCTGGAGCCTTTTTATTTCCCTGGCTGCAGCACGGGCTGTAGGGACGCAGCAGTCTGTTACGACTTGGCGTAATGGTGAGAAACACACCTGGACTTGAATACTGGTCCGTGTGCTGTGATCTGCACTCTTACCACCAGACCCTCTGCAGAGTGACTAGACAGGCCTGCGCCACCCACGTGGGCCCTGCTGTGAGGTCACTTCCAGCTCTGCTGGCTGCAGGACTACGTGTTCTTTAAGAGAAAGTCAGAGCTAAGCGCGCAGGGTGCAAACCCCTGCTCCCCCGAGCCAGGGCTCACACCGGCTGGGTGAACACAGCCCGACGTGACCGTAAGGCTGGGCCGGAGCCTTGGCAACAGGGGAACAGCTCGAGAAACAGCGGCCCCGAGAGCTGGCTGCCGGCAGAAGCAGCAGCAGAAGCAGAGGTATGAACCTTTTTCTAGGCATTTGACACAAGGCGACTTTGGTGATTTTCACCCAAAAGAGAGGGATTGCCACCCCATCAGAGGCCTCTGCTGGTGAATCTGAAGGTGCTTATTCAACCAACTCTGTTTCAGCCGTGCATGCACCTTTCTCAGGTGTTTAGGGGTTTGCATGACAGCCTCGGGACATAGCGTCGCGGAGGGGTCAAAGCTCTCACAGAGTGGGGCCTGGTTAATTCTGTCAGCCGTGGAGGCTCCGTTCTGTAGTCATGCAAACACCGAGCCAGCTGCACAGAGTTGCTTGCCTCTCCCTCATGGGCTGGGCTCTGTGGGTCTCTGATCACATTTGTACCGCCGACACACACGCTCTTTCATCTCGTGTCTCTTGGAAGACACCTCGTTCTGTAGACGCTGATCCTTACCATCGCGTCCTGGACAAACAGCTCTGTCGCTCCCACCGAGCACGGCTCAGCACCGCGTTCTCTGCCAGCCAGGCAGAGCTTCCTGCAGGTGCGGGCAGAGAGGGCAGTTCAGGGCTTTGCTTAGGATCATTTTAAACCATGAAATCACCAGAAGAGAAACAACAACAAAAGAAGTCCAATTAAATAGGCCGTGAAAAGGGTTCTTGTACGCAGTATCAGAGATCGTGCAACCGAAGGCAGAGTGTGGCCTTGCTCCGTGCCGGCTGGGCCCGGGCGCTCCGACTGACGGTGGCCACCGGGCCGAGTCTGCGGTGGCCGTGAGTGCCAGCACTGACCGTGGAGTTACTGACACACTGCGTGAGAAGGCAAAGTGGCAAGTGGCCGCACGAGCTTTGTGCTTTAATGAGCAGTTCTGGTGGTGGGGCAGAGACCCTGCCCACCCGAGAGCGGTGCTTTCCTGGGATCACCCCAGTGTGCTGCGCAGGCCGGGGCCGAGTAGATGGAGGCAAGGTGGAAGGAGACCCAGTGAGGCTGCTGCCGGGTCTCACAAACGGCTTCAGTTAGAAGCGATGCTGATAGGCCAAATGACTAAGGCGAATGACGTCGATCACACTGAAGGCTCGCCTGCCCCGTGGCCCTGAAACCTGCTCGGCAGTGGCCTCGAGGGTGGCGATTTCCGCTCTTGGAGGGGCCACAGCACGAGCTGGGAGGACAGGGAACAGGCGATTGCTCGCCGTTTGAGGGCGCTGGTAGCCAGGATGGCTTTATTCTGTAACTGTACCTTGAAACATGAAGTCCAGGGCACAGGGAGTTAAAACAGGGCAAAGAGCCTCACCCGGAGAGCGTTCCGAAGAACACAGGGAACCTGGAAAGCGCTGCCTTGGGTGGCAAGGCTGCGGAGCAGGGGGCTCGGCCCTGCCCGAACGGCTGCCAGCACTGTGCAGTCTCAGGGCGGGAAGGAGCAGATGACGGAGGCGGGGATGGTGCGGTGTTCCGGGGCAGCTGGAGCCGCGCTCCACAGAGAGAGAGGGCTTGGAAGTCGGTGTGAACGGGGGAATGTGCTGGGGACCTGCAGCAGACCTGGTGCGGATTCTGAGTGTGACTGATTTTGATGAGATGATTAAACATGAGAAAAAGTAAAATGCAAGAAATCGAAAAGGAAGGTGTGAACATCAAATCCCTCATAGAAAAGAGAAGAAATCAGCCCAGCGCAATGCTTGGTGACTTCTGAGGCTCTGCTCCAGCTGCCATTTCGCCCTCACTCTGTTTATCTTTCTTCAGCGACAGCTGGGACCCAGCACAAATCTCTGACCGCAGCATGGGTCCCCGCAGCAGCAGCCTGAAGCAGTGCGATGGCAGCGGCCGGTGGGCAGCAGGGTCCCATAGGACCCCGGATGAGCCTCTGCGCGTTTAGCATGAGTGAAACCTTTGCTTGCAAACGCCACCGCTGAGTGGGCAGCAAGGGCACGTTGGAGCGAAGCAGTTTTGCAGGAGCGCTCCACTTGATGGGACTGTGGTTGAGGGGGGCTTGTAAAGAGCCCTGTAAATTGTGCAGTGGATTGATACCTGCTGGTCAACTTATAACCCCCAGCTGAACTGAGTAAGTGTAGTGCTGGGTGTGGGAGGCCCACCTGGGGACTGTTGCCAGCAGCATAAGAGGCAGAACTGGAGAAGAAAGGCTAGGCTGTTGGGAGCAGAGAAAGCCTGCTGGAGCTGGTGGAAACTGTAAGGAGCTGTTGGTTTTGTGCAGGAGCTCGTCATGCTGGCTTTCCTGATGAACTCGGCTGTTTTCATCTTCCCAGGAGCTCGGGACCTCATTGGCACTGAGGATGGCTTTGGCTCACTTTGGGGGAGCTCTGGTCCTCACACTGAGCATCGTTTCCTGGCTCCAGAGGGGAAGATGGTGCCCTGCCCATCTCCTGGAGAAGCTTGCTGTGTTGGCTTCCCTGATGGGAACTTGGCCATCTTGATCATCGGAGGAACTCGGGACCTCACTGTTGCTGAGGACGACTGTGATACTTTTCGGGGGAGCTCTGGTTCTTACTTTGCGCATTGCTTCCTGGCTCCAGTGCAGATCCCTCAGCCTGCTAGCACAGATCCTTCATCCTGCTGGCACAGACTTCCTGGATTCCACCACTGACCTTTGGGCCTTCCCAGTGCAGATCCATGAAACAGGCCTGCATGAGATATTGTTATGGGCTCTGAGCCTCCAGCTGGACTTGTGGGAGGCATTGTTATGAGCTCTAGGCCTTCAGCTGGACACATGCGTGACGTTTCTGTGGGATCCAGGCCCTTGGCTGGTTTCCTTGGTCTTAGTGTGGACAGATTTTCTGCACTCTTTTGTGTATCATTCTTTGGGTGACTATTATAAATAATCATAAAATATGTGTCCTGTATTATGTTTTTCTCCCTTGCAAAATAAGCCCCAAACCAACACAAATGGCCTCTACCCATGCTGTGACACTACTCTCTGCCATCCCTGCCGAAGAGCTTGCCTGGTTCCTGACGTGTCCCAAGCCATGAAGTGGGCCCAGCTCAGTGTGGAGGAGGTCAGAAGTGTGCCACCCCTCACAGTCACCTGCTGTTCCTGTCTGTCTGTGACGCTGTAATACTCACCATTCAGGTGGTCCTCTGGCAAAGGGAACCACTGTCCTCCTTCCAGGAGACACTCTGAAATCCTGTGAACGGTGTAAGCTTCGGGGTCAGCTTTACTGCAAGGATGGTTTATATTTAGCCAAAGTTCTCACTGTAAAAGTTCAGAGTTGTTTCACATAGTGACGTGGCATAGGTCTCCTGCTTGGAAATGGACGGTTATTGAATGGAATAGAGTTTTGTGACATCTGTGAATTCTTCAGTGTCAAAACCTTTAATAAAAATGAGAAAGTTTTGCAGGATTCTAGTCCTTGAGGCCACTGCGTGCACATGTCCCTGGTTATCTGTGCTTCATGATGGAATGAGAGCGCTACGAAGGACATTACCTCTCTGCCGTAGACACAGATGAAAGGAACGTGTTTCTTAGAGTAATCTCTGTAGAGTAGGCCGGTTCTTCAGGGTGACTGTCAAATACTCAGTTCTCTCTCTGTATTATATAATGTAGCTTTTCAGGAAGCTTGGATTTTAATTTATTGTGAATACGAATAGTAATGAATATTTTATATTTAGGGTGATAATTTCAACTCCTGATCACTTTATAGTCAAAATTTTTCAGTTGTTATCCATTAAAAATGTGTAGCGCTTCAATCACTTTTTCTCAGTTTGTGGAAACATCTATGTTAATGTAAAAATAAGTAATTTTGAATTATGATTATACTGAGCATTTTCCCTTAAAAGGATTTATTCAGTATAACTCTATAATTCTGATTCTGGAAATCTCCCCAAAATGATTCATAATATGGAAAAAGCATTTTGATGAGGTATGCTACAGCAATGAGCATAGCAAAAGACACCAGGAAATAATCTAAATATTGAACAAATGGCTATGGTTAGAGAACCATATGGTTAGAATGGTTATGGTTTCTCCAATTGTTATACATGCACATGGTTATATATGTACATGAGTATATGTACATATACTTATCTAACAATTTATCATATATAAATATATGAATAATATATTCACATAATCTATAATACCTGTATTCATATATAATAAATCAATTCAAATCTAATCATAATATACAGCCATTTGTTATGCATAAGTATATACATATGTACACACACCTACATACTCAGTAGCACAGTGCAGTTGTTTTAAATGTTTGCTGAGACTATTGTGCAGCAACATGAAAAAAGCATCAAGGAGCTAACTTCAAGGGAAGAAGCAGAATACAGTTGTTAATATTTTTGTAACAACTAGTTGGGACGTGGGCCAATGAAACAATAATGTTTAAAAGTAAAAAGCTTAGTACGGTTACATGAGTGTGGCAGGATAGTGGATATTTCTCCCTTTTCCAATAAAAATACATTTATTAAAGGTGAGTTGATAATAAAATATGATTTTGTTAAAAAGGAAAGGAAACTTGTTGGTAGCGTGTCAGTGAAGTTAGCAGAGGGAAGGACAGACGAAGTGAGCAGCTGCGGTCTGCGCATGCGCTTGTTACTGAGCGTGTCGGTCTGTGCCTGCATAGTGACCCACACCCTGCGGTGGTCAGGGGTGCACACACACGCACACGCACACGCACGCACATCTCTGCCCCTCGCACGGCCCCTTGGTGGCGGTAGGAGGCTCTTCCTGCTTCGCCTTCCTCCGCTGAGAACTGTGAGGAGAGGCAGAAACGCGGCCGCGCCTGCACAGCTGCGCTTCCGAGCGCGGCCACGCTTGCGCTCAAGGCTCTTCCGTGGGCAGTAAATCCCGGTTTTCACTTAAGCGAGCGCGTGGATCACCGTGGGGCTCCCTCCTCGTGCTGTCTGTGCTTGCGACACAATCGATCGAAGGTGCTCTCCACGCAGGAAGAAGGCAGCCTTGGAGGCCGCACATTAATAATAAACGACCCCTGATGAGTCAGCTCGGGTTACTCGCACTTGAGGAGGTCTCCGGGGACGCCTTTGTGTCAGAGACACTGACGGCTGAGGGCGTCAGCG